GAAACCATCCCTGTAGAAACACAGGCATAGGACTTAATAGACAAAGAGTTTAAAACAACTGTCTTTCTCGAAGAGCTAGATGGAAACTATGGACAAAGACCTAAAGGAAATCAGGAAAACAATATATAAACAAAATTAGAAGATCAGCAAAGAGATAGAAATTATATATAAAAAAAAAGAACAAAGCAGAAACTCTGAACCTGACAAATACAATAACTGAATTATAAAAAAAAAAAAAATCACTAGAAAGACTCATCATACTCAAACAGGCAGAATAAAGGATCAGAAAAAAAAAAAATCAAAACAAAAACCAGCAAAGGAAAATGAACATAGCTTAAGGAATTTATGGGACATATTAAATAGACTAATAGACACATTATAGGAATCCAAAAGAGGAGAGAGAAAAGGACAAAGCTATTTGAAGAAATAATGACTGAAATAATAACGTCCCAAATTTGGGAAAAGCATGAATTACAAATACAAGAAATTCAACAAACTCCAGGTAGGATAAACATAAAGATACTCACACTGAGACACATTATCAAGTTGTAGAAAGTTAAAGACAAAGAGAATGAGAATCTTGAAAGCAGCAAGAAAAAAATGGCTTGTAATGTATAAGGGATCCCCAGTAAGATTACCAGCAGATTCTCAACAGAAACCTTACAGACCAGAAGGTTGTGGAATGATATATTTACAGTGTCAAAAGGAAAAAAAAAATCAAGAATTCTATATCAGGCAAAACTGTCGTTCAAAAATGAGGGCGAAATTAAGACAACAGAGCTGAGTTTATTACCATTCTACCTGTCCTACAAGAGATGCTAAAGAGACTTTTAAGTTCAAATTAAAGGACTCTGACAGTAACTCTGACAGTAACTCAAAGCCATATGAAAATATAAAATTCTCCAGTGCTAGTAAGTACAGGGACAAATATAAAAACCAGTATTACTGTAATTTTGGTTTATAAGTCTACTTTTTATAGGATTTAAAACACAAATGCAGGGGTACATGTGTGGCTCCATTGGTAGAATGTGAAGTTCTTGATCTTGGGGTTGTGGGATCAAGCCCCACATTGGGTGTAGAGATTTCTTAAAAATAAAATCTTTAAAAAGGGGGAAAAATCTTTAAAAAAGAAATAAAAGACAAATGCATAAAAATAATTATAAATCTGTGTTAATGAATACATGATATATAAAGATTTAACTTGTGACAGTGAGGGGCAAAGCTGTAAAGGAGAGTTTTTTAACGCAATTGAAGTTAAATTGGTATCAGTTTTAAGATAAGTTGTTACAACTTTTGGATGTTATATATAACTTCACAAAGAATATATCTATAGAATATACACAAAAGGAAATGAGAAAGGAATCAAAATTTGTCACTAAAAAAATCACAAAGCACAAAGGAAGGCAGTAATGGAGGAAATGAGGGGCAAAATAGCCATGAGACATACAGAAAACAAATAAAATTGCAAAAGTAAGTTCTTCCCTATTGTTAATTCATTATTATTTTTTAGTAAAGATTTTATTTATTTATTTGACAGAGCACAAGTAGGCAGAGTGGGAGGGAGAAGCAGGCTCCCCGCTGAGCAGAGAGCCCAGTTCAGGGCTCGATCCCAGGACCCTGGGATCATGACCTGAGCTGAAGGCAGACGCTTAACCAACTGAGGCATCCAGGCATCCCTCACTAATTACTTTAAATGTAATCGGGTTAAACTCTCCAATCAAAAGACATAGATTAGCAGAATAGATTAAAAAACAACTACAGCACACCATATGCCAACTATATGCTCTCTATAAGACATTCACTTTGGGTTTAAGGACATGCAGGGGTTGGAAGTGAAAGGATGGAAAAAGATACTCCATACAAATAGTATCGAGAAGAGAGCAGGGTGGTTATTCTAATATCAGACAAAATAAGCTTTTGAATACTGTCATAAAAGACAAAAAAAGGGTAGTATACTAAATGATAGTTCTTGATTTAACTTACCCAGAAGCTATAACAATTGTAAACATAAATGCACCAAACAAGTGAGCTCTAAAATATTAAAGCAAATATTGACAGAATTGAAAGGGGAAAATAGCTCTATAATAGCAGTAGGAGACTTCAATACCCCATTTTCATTAATGGGTAGAACATCTAGTCAGGAGATCAAGAAGGGAAGAAAGACTTGAATAGCCCTATAGATAAATTGGACCTATCAAACATATACAGAACTCTCCTTCCAACAACAGCGTAATAGACATTTTTCTCAAGTGCACATGGTACATTCTCCATGATAGGCCATATGTTAGGTTATAAAACATGTTAATAAATTTTAAAAGATTGAAATCTTACAGTTTCCTTTCCAAACACAATAGAATGAAATTAAAAACAGCAGAAAAACACTGGAAAATCCACAGATATGTTGAAATTAAATGGGGTGCCTGGTTGGTTCGGTCCGTCAGGTGTCTGACTCTTGATTTCGGCTGAGGTCATGATCTCGGTGTTGTGAGATCAAGCCCCAAATCAGGCTCCAGACTGGGTGTGGAGCCTGCTTGGGATTCTCTCTTTCCCCCTCCCCCACTGGCATTCGCTCTCTCTCTAAAATAATAAATCTTTAAAAAAATTAAATAATATACTCTTAAACAACCAATGGGTTATAAAAGAAATCACAAGAGAAATTAGAAAATATCTGGGGAAAAATAAAAATGAAAACAATATTAAAACTTATGGGATACAGTGAAAGAAGTGCAAAGAGAAGTTTATAGTGGCAAACACATTAAAAAAAAAAAGAAAGGTCTGAAGTCAACACTCTAACCTTATACCTTAAGGAACTAGAAAAAGAACAAACTAAACCCAAAGCTAGCAAAAGGAATAAAGATTAGAACAGAGATAAATAGACTAAAAAACAATAGAAAAAGAAATCAACGAAACCAAGAGATCATTTTTCAGAATGATCAACAAACTTGACAAACCTTTAGCTAGATTAACTAAAAAAAGAAGACTGAAATAACTAAAATCTGAAGGAAAAAGGGGACATTACTATTGATTTTACAGAAATAAAAAGGATTGTAAGACAGTACTATAAACAGTTGTACACCAACAAATTGGATGACCTAAATGAAATGGACAAATTCCAAGAAATGTAACTTACCAAGACTGAATCACTGAATCACGAAGAAATAGAAGATATGAATAAACCTTACAACTAATAAAAAGATTGAATCAGTCATCAAAATACCAACAAACAAAAACCCAGGGCCAGATGGCTTCACCGGTGGATTCTACCAAGCATTTAAAGAAGAATTAAAACCAATCCTTCTGAAGCTCTTACAAAAACTTGAAGAGAAAGGAACACTTCCTAACTTATTCTGTGAGGCCAGCATTACCCTGATACCAAAGCTTTTATGGGATATGCGATATTATCATGCCCATTTTATACACGAGGAAGATGAGGCACAATTTGAAGTAACTTGCTCAAGTTCACAGCCAGTGATTTCAGGATCTGAATTCATGCACTCTGACTTGCAGAGCCCACACTGTTAACCAGCATCTCATCACTGACCGATGTAAAGGAAAATAATCAAATGAAAGCCACAGAAAAATTTCTACTTTTTTTTTATCTTAACATTTGTTTTAATTTTGTTTTTGTTTTTCATCTGGGCCATTAAATTCTAATATATTATTTATCCCAGGGTACTGTGTTTTGGTACTCAGTTTAAGTTAGTTGCCAATAAAACTAAATGAACAGCATCTCTCTCTCTCCCTGTCCTTTAGTTGACTCTGGCAGGAGGAATCAAGGAGAGAAACGAAGATATAGACCTCCATACTGTATAACAGTTCCTCAACACTTGTTTTCATAGTAAAAAGACCATCACTTAACATATCCCTTCTTAATGGACCTAGAAATTGATGAAGCGCAGGTCCAAAGCAACATGTTGTAAGGTTTTTGTCTGTAAAGATTAAAGAATATGTATTCTAACAGAATCTATCCTATTCACCAATTGACTGAGCACACACCCAAAAGAAATTTCCTTAGATCCATTTAAAAAAATTTTTAAGACTCCATTCCATTGTGGGAGAGAAAGGGATTGTGAGTGCCTCTGTATCTAGGCTGCAGGATGGACGTGAGAATGCAGTAACTTACCCTGGCTGTGCTGTGCCACAGGGTCCCCCATCCCCCTCTGCAGGTGCAAGATTTTTGGGGCCCTAGGATACCCTCTAGTAAAGCCCTCCTCTATGAGGAGCAATGAGTGAAGGAGGCAGAGAGTACCAGATACAACAACATAGAGTGACTTTATAAAGTCAAAATTAAATTTCCCCCAAATTTTAACAGTTTCAAACATGAGGCGGTTTGACCTTGCCCTTGGTCCCCACCGCCCAGCCCATAACTGTAACAGGTATTTAGAAACAGGTGACTTGGGGCACCTGGGTGGCTCAGTCAGTTAAGCATCTGCCTTCAGCTCAGGTCACGATCCCAGAGTCCTGGGATTGAGCTCCACGTCGGGCTCCCTGCTCAGCGGGCAGTCTGCTTCTCCCTCTGCCTGCCCCCTCCCCTGCTCATGCTTTCTCTCTGTCAAATAAATAAGTAAAATCTTAAAAACAAAAAAACAGGTGACATCATCCAGAGCATCCAATAAAGCCTTCACCTGAGAGAAGCTCCCAGGCCTAGACCTAAAGTTAACCAGTGTGGTAAATCAGGTTATTGTTTTAATTCGCACTATGGTCCATGTCAAAATACCTGGGATGCTAGTCAACTGAATGATTCAACCAGACAGAAATCTCTGTGAAATTAGGGCTGCAAATCTACACTTCTATAGGTTTGCCAGTTGATTAACTGTTCCCCTCCCCCATTTTAAACAGTTTTGTTGAGGTATATATAATTGACATACAATAAACTGTGCATACGTTTCTTTTTAAATTAAAATTTTAGTAACATTCCATTTTTCTATCCTAAAGCTACCTCCTGAACCCAAAGTTGTTTCATTTGGTTTTGTTGGTTTTTGTTTTTAATCTTTTTACAGAGCATATAGGATTGGGCAGTGCAGGGATGTGAAAGTGTTTAGGCTGATATCTTTGGGAACTGTGGAGGAGATCATGTACTTACGACAGGTATACAAGCAGGTAAATATATTTCCCTTTTCCTAATTAAGAAGTAAACATTTGTCTGTTTCAAAAATTTCAGAAATTTGTGTAAAATTGTTTTTTCATTTTATTCTAACTATAATATGGAATTTAATAAGATTATGAAATATACTTTAGAATATATTCTGTAAAACAGATGAATTCTTATGTTCATTGAACTTCAGAGCTGAAATTTTCTTTGACTAGTACTTTTTAAGGTTTAATGTGTACATGAATTACATAGGGATCTTTAAACTACAGATTCTGATTTAGTAGCTCTGGGTGGAGCCCAAGAATTCTACATTTTTAACAAGCTCCCAGGAGTGCCAACACTACTGCAGACCACAATTTGAGTAGCAAGGTCACAGCCCCCCAGCCTGTGGAGCAAGACATAATTGTATGCCACAGATGGGATACAGGTGCACTGATACATTGACCTCGCAGCTCTCTGGGCTGCAAGATTACCTAAACCAACTTCCAACCTTAAGAAACCTTTCCAGATAGGTGTTCGTGTTACTATTTTCTGCATGTACCATTGCACAAAGAAGACTAAGGGAAAAATCCCTTAGAGATATCTAATGCAACCATTTCATGTTGTACATAATGAAACTGGGACCCAGGGACACCCCAGTAAATGGAAAAACAGGGGTAGAACTCGAGTGTACTAACTACTGTGCTGGTGATTTTAGTGTTCATCTGAAATTGTATTAACTCTTTAATATCCTTAGCATATCAATTACTTCACCATTTATGTCTCTAAATAAACAAAAGTTATTTAGTTTATAATTGCTCACTTGAGAAGATCTGGAATGAGGTTCAAGTTTAATTATAAATGTTAAATTTGAATTACTCCCTATATATTCCATTGGCATCTATTTAAGAGCAAACATCTGCCACATGTGGTGGTAGTTAACCTAAGAATGATCCAATCTTAAATTTATGCTGTTTTCTTAATTCTAAAAATAGAATTGTACACAACAGTTTTGATTTTTCTTAAAGCACTTAGCTCTATAAGAAACCTTTCATCTTTTTGTTCTTTGGTATAGCACAACTACTTGAACATTATTTTGTCCAGATATATTTAACCAGTGTTGGAAAAAAGTAGTACATTATTCTTTTCATCTTAGGAACAGTTCTTTAGAATACTGTCTTAGACTTGTCACAATCCAGTATAATTTTTCTGTCCATTACTGTATATATGTAGTAATTTTCTATATGTATATACTATATATATGTACATATATACACTATATAATATTACTTCAGAAGATGAGGATAATGTCCATTTTCAGAAGTTTGTATGCTCTACTTGGTTATTAAAATATTTTTTAAGCATGAGCCCGTTAGAAAAGACTCAACCATACAATTTCGTAGGCACAAATCAAGATAATATGGCAGTTGTGTGAGGAAAAAGGCAAGAGATGTGATTTAAAAGTTGACTGGAGTTTGAACCAACAGTGCATATGGCATACACACTCTAGCTTTCTGAGTATTCCTCAAATCCCTTGGGGAAAAAGAAATCCAAAATGATTTTTTAAATTATTTATTTGAGAGAGAGAGAGGGAGAGAGAGCAAGGAGTCAGCGGAAGGCCAGAGGGAGAGGGAGAGAGGAAATCTCAGGTAGACTCTGCTCTGAGCGTGGAACCCCATGTGGGGCACAATCCCATGACCCTTATACCATGACTGAGGTGAAACCAAGAGTCAGACACTCAACCAACTGAGCCACCCAGGCACTCTCAAAAATGGTGTTTAAAAAAAACTGCAAATATTTTGGAAAGTAAAAAGAGTTCTATTTGTGGCCCAGAAATTATAAGGAACCCTAAAAGACAAAAGGCATTTGGGATCATATTGAAGGAAGAAGCCAAGCTAAACTCAGAAAGAGACTATTAAAAAAGGTAGGTGCAGCTTCTGGATATTCCAAGTTAGAGTCAGCAGATACTAAAAAAAGGGGGGGAGTCTTAGGGTGACTATGATGCCCCCTCTTTGGGATATCATTGATGGTCTAACAAGATGGGTTAGCCCCGTACAATCTTACCCCAAATGCAGCAAATTACAGCCAACAGAGGTGTCTGCTCTCAAGTAGGAACAATAAATAGAAATACTGGAAGCAAAGAAGCAAGACAGAGCTCCATATTTTGCTGAAATTGAGAAGAAAATCCCTCCTGTTGCCCAGAAGATTAAATACTTACACGTCCCCTGCTCTGAATGATCACTGCAGTAGGCTGAAATAAGAATGTAGGGTATTTGAAGACAGAAGAATATCCAACAAAAAATAATTTTTGAACAGTTTAAGAAAAGAAACACTATGAAAATCGTCCTCCAAGATATCAAGTCCTAATCCCTGGAATCTGTAAATGTTACTTTATGTGGAAAAAAGGGTCTTTTGGATGTGATTAAGGATTTTGCAATGGGGCAAATAGCCTGGATTAGCCAGGTAGGTTCTAAATCACAAATGTCCTTATAAGAAAGAAGCAAGGGGAAATCTGACACAGACAGAAGAGAAAACAATGTTACCACAGAGGCAGAGAATGGAGTGATGTGGCCACATGCTAAGGAATGCTGGTAGCCACCGACAGCTGGAAGAGGCAAGGAATGGATTCTCTCCTAAAGCATCTGCAGAGAGCATGGCCCTGCCAAAACCTTGATTTCAGCCCAGTGATACTGATTTCAGACTTCTGGACTCCAGAACTGTAAGAGTAAAATAAATTTATTTTGATTTAAGCCACCAAGTTTATAATTTGTTACAAGAGCCATGAGAACTATTATAGGCACTCAAAAAGGAGAAGAAGTAGAGGAAGAGGAAGAAGAATTAACATCAGAGAAGACAAAAATTAATAGAAAAGAATAAAATAGAATTTTAAAAATATATAAGTAGTATTTTCAAATGATGAGTGGGAGAGTTGCCTGCGTGGCTCAGTGAAGTGTCTGACTCTTGATTTTGGCTCAGGTCGTGATCTCATTTGTCATGGCATCAATCAAGCCCCATGACTGGCTCTGTACTTAGTGGGGAATCTGCTTGGGGACTGTCTCCCTCTGCCCCTCCACTCTCTCTCTCTTTCCAAATAAATAGATCTTTAAAACAACAACAACAAAAAAAGGTGAGTGAGGTTGCAGGATCCTAGAAATAAGAACAGACTACCAGAAAAAGAATCCATTAGCTTCCAGAAAATGAAGAACTCCAGAGATAGCTTGAGTAGAAGAGAGCAATGTTTCCATCTAAAAGAGAGAGCTAAATAATTGTTCTAGATTACAGAGCAAAAAAGACAAAGAATATATGTAAGAAAAGTTAGGGGAAATGAATTGTAGGTCTAGAAGTTCTAATACCAGTCTTATAGTTGAAGAGGGGAATAGAAGGAAGGGACGGAAAGAAACTAAATAAAGGAAGAAGCATATAAAAAATAGAAAACAAGAGTCCAAGAATTATATAGGCCCATGTAATTATGAGTGCTAAACAGGATGAATGAAAATAGATCCACACTTACACCATCTTTCTGTTATTATAAAACACCAAGGATAAAGTGAAAAGTCCTCTAAATTTCCAGAGATGAACCTTCTGGAGAGAAAAAAAAACATTACCTATAATAGTACTAAGATTAGATAAACATCTGACTTTTTAGTGATTCTGGATGCTTAGGAGTAATGATTTCAAATGAGGGAGAATGATGCCTTATATTGTTGTCAAAGAAAGTAAATTTTTAATTCAAACCTTTCTCATAAAACAAGATTTTAACCTAGATGACTTCCACAGTGAATTCTATCAAACAATATTCTTTTTGAAAACAATGGAGGAGAGAACACTTGTAACTTATTTTAGAAAGATAGAAAATGTTGATACCAAAATTTGGCAAAGATATTACAAGAACATAAAATTATAGACCAATATCTCTTATGAACATGAATGTAAAAATCTTTAACAAAGTCTGTGTTAGAACTTGAATTGTGTGCCTGCCCCCTCCAAAGAAAAGGTATGTTAAAGCCCTTCCCCTGTGTGTAACTTTGAAGGGGATCTTATTTGGAAGTAGGGTCTTTGCAGATGTAATCAAGTTAAAATAAGGTCATACTGGATTAGGGTGGACCCTAATCCAATGACTGATATTCTTATAAGAGGGAAATTTGGATACAAACTGACACTGAGGGAGAATGACCTTGATGAAGGAGGCAAAGACTGGAGTAATGCAGTTTCAAACCAAGAATGCCAAGGATTGGCAGGAGCCAAGGGTCTTCACTTGGAACCTTCAGAGAGAATGTGGTCCTGCGAACATCTTGATTTCAGAATTTAGCGTCCAGAACTGTGAGAGAAGCAATTTCTGTTGTTTTAAACCATCCAGGTTGTGGCATATTGTTAAAGCAGTCTTAGGGAACTAATACAGCCTCAAAGGCAAATATTGTAAATTTAACTACATTTTTATGTGAAACTTCTGTATGACAAAGGACCTACAAGCCAAATTTAAAAAGTGTCTAGGACATCAGTTTTTGAGGTAGTGTTCAACATTCATTAGTTGCATGTAACACCCAGTGCTCATCACTACATGTGCCCTCCTTAGTAATATATGCTGGCTAATTGAACATAATAATAAAAAAATTAAAATAATTTTTAGAAACAAGAAATCAGAAAATACCAGATACACATTATTAAAGATGGAGCTAAGAAATAGACTAAAATACATGAATATGAACCAAGAAATGCTCCCCTATATGCACTTTTTAATGTCCAGATAATCAATATAAAGAGTTTTTTTGGGAGGGCGCCTCGGTGGCACAGTGGGTTATGTGTCTGGCTCTTGGTTTCAGCTCAAGTTGTGATCTCAGGGTCATAGGATCAAGCCCTGCATCGGGCTCCATGGTCAGTGCGGAGTCTTTCTCTCTCTCTCTCTCTCCCTCTCTCTCTCTCTCTCTCTCCCCCCTTCCTTTCTCTCTCTCTCTCTCTTCCTCTCTCAAATAAATAAATAAATCTTTAAAATAAAAAAAAAATAAAAAGCGTCTAGGAGGAAAATGTCCATGTATATGGTAAACAAAGGGTTAGCATCTATAGTGCATAAAGAACTTCCACAAACCGATAAAAAGACTATGATTAGGCATTTTATTGAAGGAAAAATACAAATGGTTAATGCATATATGAAAAGATGCCTAACCACAGTTGTAATCTAGAAATATAAAATAATACAATACTGTGGGGGAGATGAACCATGTGAGACTGGACTCTGAGAAACAAACTGAGAGTTCGAGAGGGGAGAGGGGTGGGGGGATGTGTTAGCCTGGTGATGGGTAGTAAAGAGGGCACGTACTGAATGGAGCACTGGGTGTTATACGCAAACAATGAATCATGGAACACTACATCAAAAACTAATGATATAATGTATGGTGATTAACATAACAAAATAAAAAAAAACATACTGTGTTATGCACATTCTGCAAAATCTTTTTTGTGTGTGGGTTTTTGTTTTGGGGGGTTGATTTTAGGGATATAGAGAGATTGGTACTATTCATTGTTGGTGGGAGTATTTGTAAAGAGGTACTCATACTATTTTTGAGAATATAACTTGGTCCATTTATTTTATAAGCTAAGTTAACAACATTTTAAAACATATAGCACCTTCTCCTTATCTGTCTGACAGAAATACTCTTATATACACACAGTGAAAGATAACAAGGATTTATATTCAGCATTATTAGTATTTGTTTAAAAAAAACTGAAAAAAAGAAACAGCCTAAATGTCCTGTAGTAGCAGAATGATAACATAAATTCTGATACACGCAACAGAAAAAAAAATTATAGACCAGATGTACTGATCAGGCAAGACCTCTAAGACATTTTTAAGTGGGACCAAAAAACCTGACTCACAAAACAAGTATATCAATTATGTTGATGCATAAAGTTATTTCTATGTGTATATATAAATAGCTCCAACTGCACTGAAAAAGATCTAGAAGGATATATGTAAACATTACATGTTACTAAGACTTATAAAGGATGATCTGTATTATTCAAGGGGGACTATTACTTTGATATTTTGTTTGCATTTGTTGTGATAATGCATTCAGACATTTTATACTTTTAAAAAATAAAACACCTACAAAGAAACTGTACTCCTTCATGTTTGGAGCATTTCATATAATCTAAATTCACCTTAATTTCCAAATGCTAAATTTTAGATTATATGAAATGCTCCAAATATATATGAAAGGTGAATAGATATATATAATTTAGAAATACATCTGTATTTGCAGAAGAATTGTAAGAATAGCCCAAAGAACACCCAATTAACTTCACCCAAATTCCCCAGTTGTTAACATTTTATCACATTTGCTTTTCTCTTTCCCTCAGCCATGATCTTTATTTTTCTGAACCATTTGAGAGAAAGTTGCAGATTTATCACTTCTAAGTTCTCTAGTGTGTATTTCCCCCAAAGAAGGACACTCTCCTATTTATATGTACATATAAAAATAGTTGCATGCATATAAACACTCAGTTTTGTGTGTTGTCCTGCACTTGCTTTTTCCCTCTGCTCTCCTCTCCAGAATGCAGTTATTCCAATCAAGAAACTAACATGGATTACCTTGTAATCCACAAAACTCAATTCAGATTTCACCGACTTTCCTGGCAATTTCTTGTCTCCTTTTTTTTTTCTGGTTCAGGATCCAAACCAGGATCGTGGTTATAGAGAATTTCTTTTCATGTCTCTTTAGTTTTCTTTAACCTAGAGTAGTTAGTTACCCAAGCTTTCCCTGTCTTTCATGACCTTCACAGTGTTAAAGAGTAAGGCCTTTCCTTGTGTTAGCTCGCCTTAAAGTAGGTCCATTTGATATTTCCTCATGTCCAGATTCAAGCCAAGAACCCCTGGCACGAATAGTTCAGAAACAATTCTGTCCTCTTCTCCTTGCATTGGTCAGAAGGCACCTGGTGGTGACCTTTATTTCCATTCAGTTTCGTGTCTGTCAGCTTTCTTCATTGCAGTCACCATTTTTTCCCTTTATAATGGATAAATATTTTATGGGGACATCCTCTGAGACTATGCCAAAAACCTGTTCCTTGTTAAGCCTGTACCCATCAGCCTTAGCATTCATTGCTAATTCCCACCTGAATCAGCTACCACCATGATGATTGTCAGATGGTGACTTTCTATTTTCCATTATTCCTTCTTCTTTGTTGCTATTCTACCATAAAAAAGAGTTTCCCTTGTTTTCTATATATTTATTTAATCTATATGGACTCATGGGATCCTGTATTAGTAATAGGTTATAATCTCTTGAATTTCACTGTATATTTTGGTGTTAAAACTGTCTCACTTCAGTCCAGTGAGACAGGTGGATTTTGTGTCATTTTGTCAAGCCTCCATCATTCTTTTTACACGTCCTTACTCTGGTAGGCTGAATGATGTTCCCCCAAAGATATCCACATCCTGATCCCACAAACCCACCTGGATTCTCTGGGTGAGCCAAAGTAATCACTGAAGGGAACAGTTGGGCAGGAAGTTCGGAGAAAGGAGAGAGGGAGGAAAGCAGAAGCAGAGGGTCAGAATGATATGAAGATGCCACACTACTGGTCTTGAAGATAGAAAAAGGTGTCCTGGCTCCTCAGCATGGCGAACATTGCTTCTTTTCTTTCTACCTCTTGTACATTTTGTGCATTGTTATGAAGAAATCCAAATGTTTTGTAGCCTTGAATGGGTTTTTCTTAAGCCAGAACCTGAGCTACATTTTCCAATAACTGATTTTTTTTCCCCTCGCCCTCTTTAATTCTAACGTTATTTTCTTATAGCAGCCTATAGATGGATGTATGTGACCTTCGCTTTTACTGGAGCCACTTTGGAAAACTTATTTTATGTACAAAATAATGTGCCTTTTATAAATTTTGTGGTAAAACTGGTAGGGAATTTATAAAGATGCAGATTAATGCTTACAAATTACTTTGGTGATTATATTTAGTTTAAGGGAGAGTTGGTAGCAAAGGGTAAAATCATCAGCTGGACCATCAGGTACATCAGTTGCTATGGTGATTCACTTTTCCCAGACTATAGCCTATGTTTCTAGAATATTGATACCAACTGATCAACTTGGATACTGATCCAAAGCTTCCTCAAACTAAGTTCCCAAGGGTCTTGTTTTAAAAGGGACATCCTGGAGATGAGAAATTTTTACAAGTATACATTTTAGATTTAACCAAATCCAGGTATAAATTCTAGAAATGACACTTCCTAGCTGGGCAGTCTATGAGAAGACACTTAATTTCTCTAAACTTAAGCTTTATTTCTAAAAAGGGAGATAATAATGTCTTATAGGTAAGTATTAAATGAGAGAATGTACAAATATTACACAGGTAGTAAGTATTCAATAAATAGCAGTTATTAATAAGAATTATTTTAGTTGCCTAGAGTAATGTATTACAGTACAAATCAACTTAAATCACAATACAGTATCACTTCTTACTAACCCTTACATCAACAATAGACTGAAGTTATTTTCCACTCTGTGCAGTCTTTGTTTCTTCTAAGAAATTTTAAAGTGTATATGGGGTTAATGATTATATTTACATTGCATTTAGTAAAATACCTCGCAAATAAAGAAATACACTCTTGTTACTAAAGGTTCCTTCTATATTCAAAAGTGTTTCAAAGATGCAGTGTTTCTAAACAGTGATTGGGTTTTTGCTGCTGGTTGGCAATATAACGATGGACACAATTAGTTTGACAGCAACATAGTTGTCATGTAGTTACTTAGGTTATAATTTAACTTTGGTGAAATAGGGATATTTTTGTCAGTTTTAGGAGTTCCTGTTGTAATGAGTCTAGAGAGGAGAAAAGTGTATTCAAATGTATCCTTTTATCATTAAACATTTTACAAGTGAATATTGCATAGTGATGGGGTCTTGACTCAGTTGGTAGAAAACTGATAAAATAGGAAATGTAAGATCTCTTCTTCAATAAGACTGGCCCGATTACTATTATTTCATCATAATGGCAACATCTGCCAGGGAAATTAAAATAAAATTTCCTCCCTAAGGAGATTCTGCCTGCTCCAGCTAAAGCTGTGTATATACAGGGAATGCCAGGAAATTCTGACATATTGTTGGAGCAAACACTTCAAAAATATCTTGTGTTTTTTCTGTTTTAGCAACTTCACTGTGTGGTGGTTGGAAGTGAAAATGCCAAGCGATATTTTGAAGCGGTTCAAGGATCAAAAGAGCACCGAGGAGAGCTTTTTGGGGTCTATAATCTCTTCAAACTAAGGTCCCAAGGGTCTTGTCTTACGAGGGACATCCTCGAGGTGTGAAATTGTTCCCTGAGCTTTTCAATGATATTTTAAATACAGTTTTCTCCCTCAGGAAACTCGAAATATAATTGCTGGTACCTTTTCAGAGACATTTGGGGTTTTCTTAGTAAAAAATACCTTGTGTTTAGAATTTTGACTTTTAGAAAAATAGGAAGTGAATTGTACCTCTAAACTAAGATTTCCCCATGTGTAGTTGTAAATAATGTATACACACAAATACAGATACATATAGTAGATAGTATGACCTCCAAGACCATTTTCAGACTGGCAAAGAGCAATATATTATTTTGAGAACAGCTGCTAAAGTCAGGAACTAAAAAAAAAAGAAAAGAGAGAGAGAGAGAGACTTTCCTAAATAAACAAAAATATAAAATGTGTTTTGATTAAAAGTTACCAAATACTCCCTGAGATGCACTCTCATGTCTCATGGAGATTTTTGTTTTCTGTTCCCAATAAAAATTCCACACCAATATTTCAAACTCTCCCAGTTGCGTTCATCCTCAGCATACAGATGTTTCTTATTCTTCAAACAGAAATTTCTATCCTTTTTAAAAAATCGCTTAAATTCTTTGATATGTCAGGATCCTAAGGGTATTAGCCTGTTTTCTAGTTGATACTGATATGAGTATCATAAAATCCTGGAATATCATCTTTTTCAATCCCCTCATCATAAAGATGAGGAAAATGAGCCTCAGAAAACTCAAAAGATTTTTTCCCTTAACTTCCAGGACTTTGTAGTAAAACCTTCATGTACTTCATTGATTTAGTCAGTTTTATAAAAATGGGTCAAGAACAACTGGTCCCTGTCCTTAAAGAACTTAGACCATCTTGATGAGAGGTGAAAGAGAACACTTACATAATGAACATGTAATACCATGTTAAGCAAGATGGCCAAGAGGAAGGCATGTATTGTGTATATCCTGTGAATCCTGCAGCTATTATACAGTGTCTGATGTATACTGCTCAATGTTTATTTTATAGTAACTATTTGATTTGAATTGAGTGGCCCATTTGAAGTCCCCCTGTCTTGGGGTGCCTGTCTGGGTTAGTCGGAAGAGCATGCGACTCTTGATCTCAGGGTTGTGGATTTAAGCCCCATGTTAGGTGTAGAGATTACTTTAAAATAAATTAAAAAAACTAAAGTCCCCCTGTCTTTTTCTTGAATATGCCGTCTCTTCCATGGACTTGTTCTTTCCCATTCCTTTTTTTATAATCAGTAACCTTGTGAGTATTCCAGGCCCCCCTCAGATTCTACTTCCTTCTCAGAGTAATACCCAACATACCAACCTATATTGGTGTTTCTCATTTAAAATTATTGTCTATAAAGTATGTTAGCATTATATGACTTATCCTTTTTTCTCTCATTTATCAAATATTTGAGTTCTTTATTTTATCAGAATAGCAGCCTATTCCTTAAGCAAATGTTAGGTAAGACATTCAGTATGACAAGTTATTAAATGAAAAGTTCTCTTGTTTTCTGGTTGTCCTAAGTATATCTTGTTTCTCCTCCAGGATTGTTTATTAATGACAGGACTCTCTTGGTCTTATATTTTGTTTGTGGTAAAATATGCTTAACTTCTTACTAGGCACATCATCAGCACCCCAATATTAAATTAAATTTTGAATTAAAATTGCTCATTTGTTATCAGCCAGAATTTAAAATTATTCAAGCTGGGTACTTATTGGCTAGAATAGATATCTCTTCCCCTAAAAAAAAAAATAAAGAATAATAAAGAATAATAATAATTAAAAAAATTATTCAGGCATGGTTAGATTCATGCTGCTTTTGGCCAAACAACGTTTTTAAAATAAGGTTGCTGGAGTGGAGGAGGGTGGGAGGGATGGGGTGGCTGGGTGATGGACATTTGGGAGGGTATGTGCTATGGTGAGTGCTGTGAATTGTGTAAGACTGATGAATCACAGACTTGTACCCCTAAAACAAATAATACATTATATGTTAATAAAAAAATAAAAAAATACATTATTATTCCAAGCCCTATATAATTGAAACATATATCACAAAGTAAAAGAATTATTTCACTTTCTGCAATACGTTTTTAATTTTTAAAGGTTGTAGAAAATCTCTTTTAAAATGTTTTAAAATGTAGAAATTTTCATTTATAGAACACTTTTAATCTGATGATTTCCAGGCAATTTATTTCTACTTTGCACTGACCTTGTTATCTATATCTATATCATGATCTCCCTTTAGAGAGAGATATTGAGGGCTAATTTCACAAATATCTATTGAGTATATGCTAAATGTCAGGTACTACCCATCATAGAGCTAGGCAGACAGAAATGAATAAAATAGACAAAAAGTCCTACCTACAAAAAATTTACATTCTATTTTGGGGAAACAAATAATAAACAAAAAAATGATACATATAGCCTATTATGACAGTAGGCTCTGAGAATAAAAATAGAGCAGGTAGAAGATGAATGACTTCTGGAGATCTAATGCCCAGCATCATGATTATAGTCAATAATACATATTATATATTTCAAAATTGCTAACGGAGTGGATCTTAAATGGTCTCACCACTAAAAAGTGTTTATTCTGTGGCATGATAGAGATATTAGCTAAAGCTATGGTGGTAATCATATTGCAATAGATAAATGTGTCAAAACATGTACACCTTAAGTGTATACAGTGTTATATGTAAATTATATCCTAATAAAAAAATTAGAGCAGGGAAGGGAAATAGGAAGACTGTCAAGGAAAGAGCATTGCAGTTTTAGATGGAGTAGCCAAGGAAGTGCTCACTAGGAGGTTGCAATTGATTCTTTGAAGAGATGAAGGAGGAAGATGTGTTTTACACAGAGGAATAAATGCAAAAGCCCTGCAGGAAGAGCATGCCCAGCAGAATTTCCAAATGGCAGGAAAGCCAGAGTGACTGGAGGGGAGTGAGCAAAAAAGCAAGAGATGGGGCCAGAGAGATGACAGGAAGCCAGATCACACGGGCACTTTGACTTTGACTTTGAGTGAGACAAAAAGCAAGTAGAGGGTTCTGAATAGAAGATAAACAGTCTGACCTCTACAATCTAGATTAAATATTAAGAATTAGGCTATAGAAGTACAAAAGCAGAAGCAAAACACCAGGTAGGTGGATACTGCAATAATCTAGCCAAGAGATGATGGTGGTTTGGACCAGAGCAATAGTGGTAGCTGGTGTGAGAAGTGGCTGGATTCTTGTATATATTGCCCAGGTGGTGCTGACAGGATTTGCTGATGGATTAGATACAGGGTATGAGAAAAAAAAGAGTTAAGGATGACTCCAAGGTGTTTGGCCTGAGAAACAGAAGACTGGAGTTGCCATTTACCTATCACAAAGGGGTTCCGACAGGATTGAAGATTTCTGGTGCTGCCTGTTCCATCTGTTGTAGCCATCTGGCTTTAGAAAGAATAAATATAGTACTGGGATAGAGAACCCCCCCTCTCCCTTGCAATAATAGCCTCTAACCATTGGAAGAAAAGATCTCAAAGAACTATTTATCATTCTCTACAGTTCTGGAGGGGAGATTTTTACTTGTTGCCCTGGATACCAGGTGGCTGGAAACATTCCATTGGTAGATATGTGTATTTGTAAGTTGGGCATTTGTAACTCTGGTGATGATAATAGTATTTCCCCTTGTTCAGTCAACAAAGTCTTAGAAAAATAAATTGACTTCCTCTTGAAGGAGAATTTAATGGTCTAGAATCTAGGCCATTAAGTACCTCTGCTGAATGGTATACCAAAAGCTTTAAAAACATAAATACTTTCCCAAAAGATGTAACAAACTTGTTACACTATTAGGTATTTTTTTAGTTTCATATTAGATGGACCTTTTCACTTGATGTTTATTACACCAAAGGAATCAATAAACATATTTTAGTGAATATGAATGATAAATACACTAGCAATATAGGCTAGAATATCAAGTTCCCAATATTCAGCATTATCTGTATTGTTTGAGATGTTAATAATATATCCTTACTATAACTATTATGTAGACATGTTTGCTGTGGATATCGTTATTGGGTAAATATGTAACATTTTTTTCATTCTCTCTCTCCTACTAAAACTATTAGTGGAGTTGGCTGAAAAGTACTATTTTCTATCTGAAAAAGACACTTTAAGACAAGAAATAAGAGTACTTTATAGGCTCAGGACACTTCTGCTGTACCTCTCTACTACCTAAGAATTATGAACATTTTAAAATGTTATGTAAACTGTATATGGGTTTATAGTAATTAACAAAATTGAAAAATAACATTAAGAAAGCTAAAGCAGTGCTTGCTTTGGCAGCACGTGTACTAAAACTGGAACGACACAGAGAAGTTGGCATGGCCTCTGCACAAGGATGCCCTGCAAAGTCACGAAGCGTTCCATATTTTTTTAAAAAAGAGCTGAAGCAAGCTGCTCTCCATTTGCCTTTCTTAACTCCAAATTTCAGCATGCTATTGCTATTGTTTATCTGGTTGTTTTTACCCCATGTTTTATAGTTATTTGCATTCTTTATAGAGAGAAGGCAAAGTGGAAGCCGGGATCATGACGGCCACAACATGGTTGAAAGAGGAACCTCCCGTACACAAACAAGAAATGGTAAGCAATTTTTGAATCCGTAGCCTAGGACTCCTAGAAAACATGTATTGGGACAATTTTAAGTTACTTTTCCCTTCTCTTCATTTTTCAATGTGTAAAGAAAAAGGTCTTTAAAAAAAAAAGTCAAGGACACAAAGTCAGAGGACTGTCAGTTAAATTAACAATTTAGGCGAATTTCACATTTCATATCATAAGAACAAAGTCAAGAACAATCACCCGTCATTTACATCCAAACCGGAATTTTAACTATACCAAACTATAAATCCAAAATTAAATACACTGTATAGGTGAACAATCCAACCTAACTAAACAGTTTTTCACCAACCAAAAAATTAAATGGAAAAACAGTAATCAATGTCTGTTTAAGATTATTAAATCCAAACATCAAAATTATTCTCTGACTCAAACATATTTTATTTTGAGTCCTTGATCTTGTGATCTTTTTGGTAGTTTGTCATCTCACATACTACAAAATCTATATTGTCATCATAAGGGCTCTTTAATAAAGAATCTACATGTGGAAGGTTCTTTGTTGTTGTTGCTGGTTTTTTTCTTGCTTTGGGGGATTTAACTATACATTTATACTAGCTTGATGATTTGGAACATGGGGTGAATATTTTTCTAACTTTATAGAAATACATGAGTAGCAAATGTTGGCAAAAGTATTACTGGATTTAAAAAAAAAAAGTATTACTGGATAATACTTTCCCCAAATCTTTTACTAATAAAGCCTTGGTTTTAAGAAACTGAAAGATATATTTAGCTCTGATTGATGTAAAAAATAATAAATACTGGATTTAAATTTGTAGCAAATTTTACTTCAGAATATCTAAAATATTTTTTTATTTCTGATGGTCAAGATTCTATCAGATCTTATTTTTAATCTATTAGAACTATTTTCTACTTGTGAATTCTTTACTTTGTTAATGCCTACAAATTTATTTTTTTCTTAAAGTGTGTTTGGAACTATGTGCTGGACTACAGCAAGCAGGTTGTGTACTTTTCACTTTTGAGACCAGAATCAGTCCCTACATCTTAGAAGCTGACTGCTCTGCTCTGTGTTTTCCTTATAGATAATTTGATTACGTGGTATTCTGTTTAAACTTTTATTTATTTTGGAAGCTATTCAACTTGAGAAAAGAGTGTACCAGACTGTAATATTAAATCCTTTGCATTTGTTCATAAAATGTTGTATTTTTTGAAAATGCCAAGTGATATATTAGTTATCTGCCCAAATTTAATACCCTTCCAGTGTGATAGATTTGATATTATCTTGACATTTTCTAATGTTTCTGTGACTGCTTCTTATATAGTCTAAAGAGCCTGACTGTCAAGAACATAGAGGTCTAGAACAACCTGCGGAGTTGCCAACAAAAGAAGCATGTGATCCCTGCAGTGATTTTAGTGATGATGAATCAGTGGGAAACTCAAGAATAAAGACTGCTAAAAACAAAGCATCTGACTCAAGTAGAGCTTCAGGTTCTGCTGGACAGCTTACCTTACTCCATTGTGGTTTCTCTAAATTGTTTGAAACAAAATTTAAAGCAGTTGAAGATAATGATGGAAATATTGCCTCTGATGATGAAAGTTCTGATGAACAGCCCATGTGTCTTTCAACAGAAGCCAAAGATGTTGGTTTTCAGACAAGTCATGACTCTCTTGGTACTTCAAAACACCAGAAAGTAGCTAACACCCTAAATCCAAATGAAAAATGTATTTTTGATAAAAGTGAGAAAATTTTCAAACAAAATATTTCTTCTGAGTCTGATGATGAGAAAAATCTTAAAAATACAGGTGACCACCATTGCATTTTACAGAATGTCACAGAATCAGAAGACAGTGATGTCATCTTTCCCACACAATATACAACTCAGATATGCCCTAAGAATGGTATAAAGTTTAAGCCACTTGTGGATGGATCTCAAGATTCTGAAACAGAAAATCCTGTAAAAATAAGAAATAATGGTGATGATAGAAAGACTGATGTCAAAGGAAATAGACAAATTGCAAAACAATTAAATCCTGAGAACATGACCCTGAAATCTATTATGAAAAGAAAAAGCAGTAGTGATATTAGTGATGAGTCTGATGACGTTGAAATTTCCTCTGAGTCAAGAGTAAGAAAGCGAAGAGCTACTAGTTCTTTGAGGTTTAAGAGAAAAAAGGAAAGTAAAAAGGAGCTTTTCACTTTTCCTAAAACAATGAAGAAAACAAATCAACTGTATACTGCAGATGGAGATTGTAACTCGCAGGCTATTGATGATTTTTCATCCTCAGATGACAATTTAACTGTCCGCCACATCAGTTTCTCTAAACAAAGCCATACACCAAAAACTATAAAAGATAGAATCAGTTTCTCTTCAAAATTGCCTAACCATAAGGAAAAGGACACTTTTATGCCAAGAAAATCAGTGAAATTTTCAAATGAGAAAGTTGTCAATCAAGAGCAGGTGTATGAGTCAATGGATAAATTTTTAGGTAACTATAGATATATTTTGAAAACTTTGTTACATATTTTGTGCATTCAAATAGCTCTGTAAGAGATTCTTAAATTAGCTTGTAAAATAGTTCTATAATCAAGATGCTACACTGAGGCACAAATGAGGAAGTGGGTGGATGGCAGGATAAAGGGAAGACCACCTAGGTCAACATAGAGAACTTTGTCATCCACCCAAGGACCCCCTCCATGTGCCCTATCTGAATCACAGCCCTTTCACCAGACTTCATTTAGTCTTGACCTGTAGGTGACTATAAGTTTAATGCTCCTCTTCAGTCCTTATGTCAGCATCTCGCCAGTCAGTTTGGTTGTCAGAAGCTTATTTTCTAGTAGATCCCTCAGGAAGTGCTCGTGAGAATAATATTCCCTGAGATTCCTGTTGGTAACAGTTTGTGCCCTTTATACTTAAAAGTCATTTTTTGCCAGATATAAAATCGTTGACTCACACTTTCTTCAGTATTTTAAATATGAGGCTTCCTTTTCTTTTGGCATGAAGTGTTGTCACATGTTCTTTTTCTTCCCCCTTGATGCCCAAAGAATTTCTTTTCTTTTCATTATTGTCCAGGAACTTTACTAGACTGTGTTTGAATGTTTGTCTTAGTTCGAGTTGCTATAACAAACTACCGTGGACTGCGTGGCTTACACCTTTAGTTCTCACAGTTCTGGAGACTGAAGTCCAAGATCAGGATGCCAACATGGTTAGGTTCTTGGCTCAGGCCCTCGTCCTGGCCCACAGAAGGCTGCTGTCTTGCTGTGTCCTCACATGGTGGAGACAAAAATCATCTCTCTTGTGTCTCTTTTTTTAAGGCCACTAGTCCCATTCATTAGAGGTCCACCTTCATGACCTCATTATCTCCCAGAGGCCCAACCTTCAAACACCATCATGCTAGGGGTTGGGGCTTCAACATACGAATTTTGGAGGGACACAAACATTCAGTCCATAGCAGTGTTGGTTATTCTGGGTCAGTATTGTCATAATATAGTTTCAACTCGGTTTTTATTTCAGGAAAGCTTTCCTGTACTAGTGTTTTTAGTTACTTTTTCTATTCCTTTGCTGTGGCTTTCTTCTTCAGAGACTCCTGTTATTCAAATATTCCATTTTCTTTGCCTGTCTTCAGTATTTGTCACATTGTCTCAAATCCTTTATCTTTTTCATTTCTTTTTGCTTTTTAAAATATCCTTCCATTTTTCTTAAAGATTTAGTTATTGTTTGTTCCCTCTTATGTTCCTGCAGTCTAGTCTTCATTTTTCCAAATTTGTTTTTAATTTCTAAATCTTCCTGAGTCCTGTCCACCCTTTTCTGACTTATTCTGACTTACGTTGTTGGTTCGTTCCTGTATCTTACCATTTTCTTAATGTCTTTTACCTGGTTTTGAAGTCAGTTAAAATTTTAGTGTGCTTTGTGAGCACATGTTTATGGCATATTTTCATTCTGCTGCTTGTTCTTTTTTCTCATAATAATTTTTATGAGATTTGACCCTCTTGCTCATTTTTATAGAAATTATTTTCCCTGAATTTTTTAAGTGAGGCACAGTTTAGGAAATTTTTTCTAATTTCACAAATATCCATATCTGTTTTATTATACAGTCCTCAAAACTATGGTGGGATTTCTTGCCTCTATCCATACCCACTGCTTTGCTTTAGACCGTCTCTTTCCCTCATTCCTAATCTTCCTATCCTGTTCTTTTTGACTCCCTCCCAACAGTTTCTTCATTGTGTGGCCCTGACCCGGGAGCCCTGGTGGGTCAGTTTGGAGAGTTCCTAAGATCTAGTTTGCTTTATTCTCTCAGGCCTTCTTATCGTAAGCCCCCTGCACCCACTCAGCATTGGAGAACAGAGAACCTTCCCAGATCCCCGTTCCTTCCCAACTCATCTCCAAGTGGCCCACTGTGCTCTCCAGGGCATACCTGTTGGCTATTCTAGGCTCTTCTGTTCTCAGATCCATCAGATGCCACCCTTTTGCGTCCTTCACCCACACCCTGATGCTGTGCACAGTGTAGCTATTGGTGGATTGTCCCCATCTATTTGTATTTTAGGATTCATGGGGGAGTGTCTTGTTACCTTAATTTGTTGTATGTGTTGTCCATGGCCTTTTGTTTCACTCAGTTATTGCTGGCTGTTTTATGTAGGGATTCAGAGATTGAAAAATTGCTTACCCTGCTACCACCATCTGCTGATAATCTGCTTAGTGATTTTAAGAGTTAGCATTGCTTTTAAAAGTGTCTGACTCATTCCCAAAAAAAAAACTATGTGAAAGAAGCTGATATATAAGCAAGGATAGTTTGATATAGGAATTATAATCATTGTGTTTGACTTATTTACATATCAAGCTTTCTTTTGTGGTTATTCACAAGTTCATTATGATATATATTTTGATACCCTTGTAACTAAGTACTGGACTATCCTTTGGTTTGTGTGCTATAATTAGATTTAGATTTGAGGAATCGTTGCATAAACTGTTCTTTAAAAGAGTAGCTGAGTTTTGTGTTTGTTTTTTACTGTGTAAATGATGTCAGTAGTGTGGAACTAATGCTATTTTGAATAATACATAAAACGTGTCATCAAAATTAAGAAAAATCTGAGTAAATTTTCTACCAGAAGAATACTTGATCCTTCTAGAGGTTTAAAACTGTTGCCATACACGCTACCTGGTATTTTGAGATTTAAGGAGGATATTATCTTAGTTGTTCTTTTTGTTATTTAACATCTTGTTTTCTCACAATTGTCAATTTTGGTTGAGAGAGGGTCAGGACTGAAACAGCACAAGGGTTGAAGGTCATAATTAAGGTTCATTGCCAGAGATGTTTGAGGGAGCTTTTACAGACCTCAGTTCTAGCCTTCTCTTTTATGACCACAATTTAAAAGTAAATTATAGGTGCCTAGAAGCAAAGCAATAAAAAATGTAGCCATTTTTTAGACTTCTTTCAGATAAAAGCTGTAAGTTAATTTTTTTCATTTCCTAAAAAGCTCCCAATCTTGACATTCTCTGGGCATATGTACAAAAAAGACAAAATACAAACAGTAAAACTGAACAAAGCCAACCAAATGAAACTCCCTGGTCATAAACCCCATGCTCCCACTCCATTGCTGTAATTAAGTACATGTTTAAAGGAACAGATAGATGAGGGCAGCACTGCTATTTAAATTAGTAAACAATTTTTTTAAATCAATAGAAACAACAAATCCATGGAGATAACCCTTTACCGTGACATTTTTCTTAGCCAAAACCTTCATTTCAGGTTTAAATCTAAAAATTGTTGTCTAATCTCAGAAGTTCTCATATTGATGAGAAGGAAAAGTCATTTCCAAGTTAACCTAGACCAATATATTTGAACTCTTTTCAATTTTTATAAAAAATAGAATATTGTGATGTTAACATACAAACTCAATGTTTTTCCTGAGGGTTAAGAATAGAACAAGCATAACTTCTCTTTTAGTGTATTGCTGATAATTTTTAAAGTGTACATGGAACCATATTGCTTCACAACGAGACATCACTTAATAAACACCAATTACCTCCCAGATGGTGTTCGGGAAGTGGCTTATATTCACTCCAACCAGACTGTGATTGGATCCAGCAAAGCTGAAAATCACATGAGCCGATGGGCAGCACGGGATGTGTTTGAATTGAAGCAGTTTTCCCAGCTTCCCGCCAATGTAGCTGTTTGCACTTCTAAGGTAAGAGAACATAGGGTCCTGACATCTTTAGTATTTAGAAGTTACTCAATAGGATCTTCTCTAAATACTCCCTCAGAAGTGGCTACTAAGACTATAAGCAATAAAGAAACAAGTGTAAAAATCAGAATGCCATTTGGAGCACTGTTGTGCTAAAATATTTTATATTAAAAGGCACATCTATGTTTAAATGCCTAATCATGTTGGGTTGCTTAATAAAAGTTTGCTAAAAAATGAGAAGTCTGAGGGAATCATGCAGTTAAATCAGAATCAAAACCACTTCCGCTCATATAGAAAAGGGAAGTGTATGATTAGATTTCCTTCAGAATTTTTCATCTAACATGAAGGCACACATGAAAACTAACTTCATACAGAATTTATATATATATATATATATATATTTTTTTTTTTTTTTAAAGAGAGTGCACACGGGGATGAGTGGGGGTGGGGGACTGAGGGGCAGAGGGAGAGGGAGAGAGACAATCTTAAGCAGACTCCACACCCAGCATGGAGCCCCAATGTGGGGCTTTGTCTCATGACCCTGAGATCATGACCTGAGCCAAAATCAGGAGTCAGACGCTTAACCAACTGAGCCATCAATGTGCCCCTAGAATTTATATTTTTAGCAAAAGGATTCATATAATGTTAAAAGTAGTAAATACATCCTATGTGCTTTTCTTGTTTAAAATTGCTGTTATATAAAAATAAAGCTTTATGTAAATGTGGTATCTTATTTCCACATAGTCACTTTCATCAAATGTTTTTAAAAATGTTTTCTTCTCTTTGGCTTATTATTCTTTATTCCTAAGAGCTGAGTGTCTGAGGAGTTTTTCTACCACTTTATGTGTAGGAGTTAAAAATGGGTACTGTATACAACAATGATACTTTGTTTCCAGTTAGTACTACTTTTAAGAATGAAGGGGGGAAAATGCCTCTGAACTGTCAAGCTGTCTTTATTTATTTGTACCTCCTCTGGCTCCACAGAGGATCTGGATTGTCCTAACAATAAAATCAGAATACAAAGTGAAATTCAGAAACAAGGGAAATATAAATTAAACTAGAAGTTCAGGACTAAGAGAAAGTTAAATGCAGGTATGTAGGATATAAAGTTCTTACCCAGATATTTTCTTAAATGACAAATTTGATTGAGTTTCCTGGTAGACAAAACAAAGGAAGTAAACAATTTATTTAGTGTTTTCTCAACTACTGCATTTGGAAATGTGTGTGGGCACTTTGGGTGGTCACAGTGACTGAGTACCCGAGGGGCATTAATGTCTGAAGGCCAGGGAGACTAAATGGCTGTTGTGGGGGTGGGAGGGCTATCCCACATGCCAAGAATTGTTCTGCTTAAGATGCCATAACACCCTGCTGAGAAGCACTGAGCTAAATTGTTGTCCTTAAGGAAAAGAAAAAGGAAAAAAAAAATGCTAGCTCTTCGAAGGAGGAAGAAGGCTCTTCCTAGCACTTAATTTGAGGGAAATTTGTCACCTGGGATTTTAAATGGTGACTACTGAATGATCTAGTGAGCAGTCAGTTGTCTGATAATATCCTTAGAATAAATGGAATAATGGACTTGAAAAACTGTGCATTTAATATTTTTCATTGTAATCCAAAGGCACAATGCCACAATATAACACGCGAAAGCATTTTTTCATGACCCACGTATGCTGCCTTTTTATATTCTCATTTGATCTAGGAATATACCATATCTCAACCAACACTGTAGAGAGCAATTTCTATAGTTTGTCTACCTTGCAGGAGCTATCTGAAAAAGGTAAGCAGAAATATGCTGGGTTTGCCAGAAATTTGCTATATTAGAATGAAGAGCCTATCAGAATCTCTTAAATAGACAGCTAATTTTTTCTTAGGGTTTTATTTTTGTAACCATACCCCTTTTTTTTTAACCATGCCCTTACCCAAACAAACAAATTTTAATGTGAAAACGTCAGATAATTTGGCAAACCCCTGTAGTAGATGTTAATGAAATAATTTAACTGGGTATTGTTGGTTTATTTAAATATTTCTCAGAAAAGAAATTTGCAGCCTCATATAATTCCTCCCAAAATGGACCGGAGAAGCAAGCACCTAAACATAAGAGAAATAAACACCCCTTTGGAACCTTCTTAAGGCAAGTTGTAAAAATGAAAATGGTAGAAATATACTTTGCCCTTAACTGGGCCGAGGACCAGGAGCAAGGGAGTTCCTTTATCCTTACATTAGCAATCCCGGTAGTGCTCAATCTTTTTTAGCCCCAGCATTCTTGAGGTAGACAGCACAATCTCATCAGAAGCTTTGTCTCTTCACAGTGATTTTTGGAGTGAGGGACATTCTTACCAAGAAACAAGTTGAAATATTCATCCCCTAGGATTTCTAATATGCCCTTTGAGGCTGTATGTCCCCCCCTCACACACAGACCAACTTAGTAAACCTTTTTCAGGGTGTGTGAAGAAATGTGTTGTTTAATGACTAAATCATAGTGGGTGTAAAATATTCGGGAAGTTTTAAAGCCACTAAGCAGGAGGTCCAATCCCATGCCACCAATGCTAGCAGGCCAAGAACAGTCTGTACAAACATGCTCATCTCAGCGGCCAACTTGTTTAAATCAATACTTAATATAGTAAAATTCCAACAGAATAAGATTCAGTCCCTCAGATTTTACCTCTACCATTTAAAACATCAGGTTAATAATACGGCTGTAATTTCTTGAAAGTTGTAGTCTATTACCTATATACAAAAATCACTTGAGGACAGTTCATGACATGTGAGAAAAAACTCACAAGCACCGATTTCATCATATCTGGTCAGACTTACTTAAACACCTTCAATGAGTAAATCACTGAAACACACCATCATCTTTGGTTAGAGATATGTGTGTCTCTCACTGAGACAGTTTTAGTGTGTTGGTGGCAATAATGAATTGGCAGTTTTGAAAAAAATTAAAAATTCTTATGAGAAGAAAAGAGAATAAACTAAGGTAAAGGGAAACAAAGCAAGGTGAAAGCAAAAGAGGCTCAGCCATAATTTCAGAAAATATCTGCAAACCTCTTGCTTCTAAAGTCTCCAGAAATCCCCAGACCTCCCACCTACAGTACAGTATCTTTCATCCTGGGGCTCACATCCAGAATTTTTATTACTGAGAATTCTTCTGAGTGCTTCTTGTCTGTCACCAAATTTTTATTAGAGACCTTTATTTGTGTTTGAAATGATTGTGTGTGCGTGTGTGTGTGCGCACATGCTTGCGTGTGGTCTGTGTGTGTGTCTGCAGCCAGATGCAGATGTGTTGTCTCACTTCCTAAGAAAATGAAACAAATCCTATTTATTTGTATGAAGGTAACACTCCATTAACAGTGGTCACAATATGCAAGTATTTCACTTTCCCAGGAATACTGTAGTTGAGTGTAAGAACTTTTAACTAAATTGCAAAGGAATATACTAAATGGAAAAGTTACAAAAAAGAAGTAATGTACACCACAAGCCTAGATAAACTCCTATGGTCCTTCAGAATTTCTCAGTCCTTTTGATGTAATTATTGATAACCAAAATGACAAGAGCTCTGAACCTGCTTTTCAAATTTAACCGTATATTAAAAGGCCTAAAATGTACTATCTTTTCCATGTTTCCTTTGGTTTCTTATAGTTTATACTTTTATAAATTAATTTCTATTTATATGACATTTTATAGATGTCTTGAATGAAATCTGTCTCTCCTAAAATAAATTTCTAATCAAACTTGGTTATTTAGTAATACAAATTATATAAAATAAGAACTCATTTTGCCTTAAATTATACTTAGATATTTTAGAGCCATTTCTGAAGATGAGATGTCTGAGAACAAGAGGGAAAATCTGTGTGATTTAGGTTTAAACTCAGACCGGAAAGAAATGTTTTTAAGCATCTGAAAGGACTGCTAATACCTTTATTAGAGTTAATTTGTTCTTTTAATATATGGAAGTATGTCACAGAATTTAGCTATACCTGTTTGTGATGTGGGGCCTCATTTTTTCAATCAACTGCATGTTTTCAACTGAAGTATACTTAAAGTTTTCTGAAAAGAAAGGTACAAAGACAGCATTCAATTAAGGATTAATCACCATGGCAACTGAGACTGGTGACCAAGAGGAGGGGGTGTACTCTCCCCTCCGTCTCCTGCCAGCTGTCATAGTCAACCTCTGGGCCCGAGTCTGCACCACATATAGACTGTGACTGACTCTAAGAAACTATATCTGTATTTTGTATAAATTGGTACAAGTATCAGACTATAAAAGAAGACTTAATCCCCTGAATTGGATGACAGACACTTGGCACTCTTGCCAGTGTTTGACAGAGAAATAACGGGTCGCTTTGTAGTAAAACCTGGATTAATAGTAAACCCTTCTTTATGTTATTGCAGTGTGGTGTAAATGAGAGGCCTAAGCACTCTGTCAGCCCCGGGCGGGAGCGGGGGTGGGGGGGCCGCAGGGAAGGGTGCCTTTTATAACCCGTGCAGGTTTAAGCAGTGTTCAGAATACTGCAAATACAAAATGTTGTGTTAGTAAGAACATCTCTCTCTTGTATTTGTATTAGATTGGCATTTTGTAGATTACTTAAAGAAAGGATTTCTATGAGCTATGGTGGATTTGATTGCAGTATGTTTATACAGCTTTTGGAGTCAGCAAGGAGGGATGGACTGTTTACAATGAAGCGAACTTTGGGGAGATAGAGCATTCCATTATCCTATTTTGCAGGATAGTGAATGGCATGATGGTTTAAAGTAATGGTTCACAAATGACTGGTTTATGAAGTAGTTGAGTAAGGAAGGTTTATGGATTCATCATCTAACAAAATTAACTCTTACTGGGTGGGATTTCTCATGGTTCTATCATTTTCCTTTCTATAGCTAGATGCTAATTTTATGGTATTTATATCAGAAAGTTGTTCTTTCAAGTAGTTTTAGTAGAGATCAAGATTTTTTTAATTTTGTTTTTATACATATGTAATTATGTAAGTGTTGGTATGAGAAGTTTC